GCTATCCAGATAGAAACCCATTTGCCTTGTTCCCAATATTTTATTGCTATCCAGATAGACACCCATTTGCCTTGTTCCCAATATTTTATTGCTACCCACAAAGAAACCCATTTGCCCTAAGTTCCCAATATTTTATTGCTACCCACAAAGAAACCCATTTGCCTTGTTCCCAATATTTTATTGCTACCCACAAAGAAACCCATTTGCCTTAAGTTCCTAATATTTTATTGCTACCCACAAAGAAACCCATTTGCCTTGTTCCCAATATTTTACTGCTACCCACAAAGAAACCCCTTTGCCTTGTTCCCAATATTTTATTGCTACCCACCAAGAAACCCATTTGCCCTAAGTTCCCAATATTTTATTGCTACCCACCAAGAAACCCATTTGCCCTAAGTTCCTAATATTTTATTGCTACCCACATAGAAACCCATTTGCCTTGTTCCCTTGTTTTATTGCTACCCAGATAGACACCCATTTGCCTTGTTCCCAATATTTTATTGCTACCCACCAAGAAACCCATTTGCCCTAAGTTCCCAATATTTTATTGCTACCCACCAAGAAACCCATTTGCCCTAAGTTCCTAATATTTTATTGCTACCCACATAGAAACCCATTTGCCTTGTTCCCTTGTTTTATTGCTACCCAGATAGACACCCATTTGCCTTGTTCCCAATATTTTATTGCTACCCACAAAGAAACCCATTTGCCTTGTTCCCAATATTTTATTGCTACCCACAAAGAAACCCATTTGCCCTAAGTTCCCTTGTTTTATTGCTACCCACAAAGAAACCCATTTGCCTTGTTCCCAATATTTTATTGCTACCCACAAAGAAACCCATTTGCCATGTACCCAATATTTTATTGCTACCCACAAAGAAACCCATTTGCCTTGTTCCCAATATTTTATTGCTACCCACAAAGAAACCCATTTGCCTTAAGTTCCTAATATTTTATTGCTACCCACAAAGAAACCCATTTGCCTTGTTCCCAATATTTTATTGCTACCCACCAAGAAACCCATTTGCCCTAAGTTCCCAATATTTTATTGCTACCCACAAAGAAACCCATTTGCCCTAAGTTCCCAATATTTTATTGCTACCCACATAGAAACCCATTTGCCTTGTTCCCTTGTTTTATTGCTACCCAGATAGACACCCATTTGCCTTGTTCCCAATATTTTATTGCTACCCACAAAGAAACCCATTTGCCTTGTTCCCAATATTTTATTGCTACCCACAAAGAAACCCATTTGCCCTAAGTTCCCTTGTTTTATTGCTACCCACAAAGAAACCCATTTGCCTTGTTCCCAATATTTTATTGCTACCCACATAGAAACCCATTTGCCTTGTTCCCAATATTTTATTGCTACCCACAAAGAAACCCATTTGCCTTGTTCCCAATATTTTATTGCTACCCACATAGAAACCCATTTGCCTTGTTCCCAATATTTTATTGCTACCCACAAAGAAACCCATTTGCCTTGTTCCCAATATTTTATTGCTACCCTTAAAGAAACCCATTTGCCTTGTTCCCAATATTTTATTGCTACCCACAAAGAAACCCATTTGCCTTGTTCCCAATATTTTATTGCTACCCACAAAGAAACCCATTTGCCTTGTTCCCAATATTTTATTGCTACCCACATAGAAACCCATTTGCCTTGTTCCCAATATTTTATTGCTACCCACCAAGAAACCCATTTGCCTTGTTCCCAATATTTTATTGCTACACACCAAGAAACCCATTTACCCTAAGTTCCCAATATTTTATTGCTACCCACAAAGAAACCCATTTGCCTTGTTCCCAATATTTTATTGCTACCCACAAAGAAACCCATTTGCCCTAAGTTCCCTTGTTTTATTGCAACCCGCTAGTTTGTCCGGGCGGCGTTAAACCTGGCGAGTCCTGGTTTGAAGAGGGTTGTGTCAAGTGCGACTGTTACGAAGATGGGTTTGGATGCGTCAAGTAAGGAAATCTCGGAAATATGTTAACTGCTAGAATAACAATATACAACTTTAAGAGATGGTATTATGCATTTATATTGTATTAAATGGATATATCATAGAATATGTACAATAATACAATAATTGTACATTATCTTTATTCATCCACATGTGCATATATATATATATATATATATATATATATATATATATATATATATATATATATATATATATATATATATATATATATATGAAAGTTTATCTTGCTTGATTATGCCTCAGCTGCCCTACGATGGCCGTGTTAGGCAACTGTGAGATCTTCTACGACACAGAGGGAGACTACCCCGCTTGTTGTGCACCACGGGTGGTCTGTGCTGACGAGGATAAATAAACAATGTAATGTAGACCACGGACTCATCTGAAATAAAGATATACTGCAAACAGTACATGATTTGTTTTTACTTACTTTCATTGTAAATTAGTCTCTTGAGAAACTTTATACACCACGTTATTGGAGTCGCGATAGATCGGTTCATTTTTAAAGAATGAAAGTAACTTTGCTGTCTCACACCACCTCAGCCCCCCCCCCCCTCCTCACTAAAACCCGCACACTCGGCTTAAATCTGTTTTTCTGACCACACACACACACATACGCAAAGCTTTTAATGCAGTCTCACCCCCCCCCCCTTTCCAACCACCGCCATACTGTTGTCTTGTCGCCCCCTCCCCTTCCTTGCCTTACAGCTTCATACTGTCTCAGTTCCAACTTCCCCCACCCCCCTCCAAAGCTAAAGTTTTACGGTCTCAACCCACCACACCCTCTCCTATAAAGCTATAGTGCTGTTAGTATTGTGACATTGTCATCTCTTCCCACCCCCCCCCCCCCACCGAAATGAAATTTATATAATTTATATAGAAAATATATACTTTTAACAGTGTCCGCCCCCCGAAGAAAGTCTACCCCCCCCCCCCCCCGAAAATTTCAAGTGCCCCCCGGAGAAAAAAGTCTGGAAGAAACACTGCCCCCACCCCCCCCACACCCTCTCCCGTAAAGCTATGATGGTGTTAGTATCATCACATTGTCATTGCTTCCCACCCCCCACCCCCACCCTCACATACACACACATCTACAGCACTGATTATCTCCCTGTCCCTCCCACAGTTTCAAGCAAGCAGACATTCGCCACGTATAATGAACACCGATTTATATATATTATTGTTTATTTTTTTTAAATCCCACTCGCCCGCATGGAGTTCCATCTAGATCTACTGCGGACTGTCATTGTGGGTATAAACCCGCCCGCATGGAGCTTGAACTAAATCTACTGCGGTCTGTCATTGTGTGTATTTTAAGCAGGCGATCTAGTGCATCTGACGGTTTAGCTTGTATCAGCTGCCTGCCGAAGCATTTAACCAACATGAAAGCACTCGTTCTCGTCAGCCTGCTGATCAGGACCTGCTTCACGCTAACCTACGAGGACACCACTAGTCATTACAATATGACGGGTACGTTTTGGTGCTGCCCAATGTAGCGACTGGTCTGTTTTCAAAATAAGTTATTTTTTGTTTTGTTTTTTTTTAATTTTGTTTTTTATAATTTACAGTTTTGCTGCCCACTGTAGCGGCTTGTTTGCTTTCAATATTAGTTGTGTTTTTTTTTTTTTTTGTTTTTTTTTTTTTTTTTTTTTTGTTTTTTTTTTTTCGTTTACAGTTTTGGCGGATTTTGCAGAGGCCTTTTAAAAAATTCCTTTTTAATTAGAATTTAAAGAGAATGCCATTTTCTTATAAATTGACAATTCTTGAAGACAGATTTGTTCTAAATTAGAGACAGATTTTTGGTCTGCAAAAGAGACGGACATTATATTACATTGTAATGGCAGACTTAATGTCTACAGTTAAGACTTACATTAATTGTTCATACAAAAGAAACATATCTCGTAAAAAAATTTTATGACTGGTATTTTGTTACATTTCATGACGGGTCAGTATATTTTCAAGGAAAAAAAAAAGAAATTATATCATAGATGGACAGGCATTTTTTTTTATTAATAGAAAAGTATCAATAACTTTAAAGTTAGATTGTGTTATGTCGTTCTATAACAGGGCCGTGTCCAACGCCATACCGTTTAGGAGAGAATTATCTCCGGCCCGACTGTCAACATTGCCGATGTTATGATGGCTTCTACACCTGCTATATGTAAGTTACACCAGGCTCCAGTATATGGACAGAATATGGCAGAATATTTTTTTTTAATGTCTCGTATAGGAAATAGAGAGAAAGTATTGTGATCCTGCAAAATCTCGACGTTTTTTACCTCCCTGAGTCGAAAAAAACTTAGTTTTGCAAACTTGTCTGTTTGTCTGTGTGTGTGTCTTTAAACATAAATACCGTTTGTTGATGAAAATTTCTTATTTAACTATTATTTTAAATTTGTTGTTCTGTAACAACTTTTGGGCGATTTTAGGTAACCGGTAGTGGTACTAACTGTACATAATGTTTCTCAAAATCTGATAACTTCAGTACCAAATTTCATCCAATTCCTTAAAAAAGAGAAGAAGGGATGAGACGAATCAATCAACTTGCATGCTATTCTGTACACTTTTAAAAAATTATATCGTTCGTATTCAACTCCATAACGGAGAATATTATGTATATACATACAAGGAAATGTGTGTATATTATATATGCATATATATATATATACATATATATATATATATATATATATATATATATATATATATATATATATATATATATATAATTTTATTTGCAAACAAACACACACACACATATATATATATATATATATATATATATATATATATATATATATATATATATATATATATATATATATATATATATTGTATGTGTGTTTGTTTATTCTTTATTTATGCTTATGCATTTAAATCAAATGTCAAGCTGTCCCCACGTGAACGTGGCCAGTCCGTCTTGTAAAAGAGTAATACTCACTATGGGACAATACCCTACCTGCTGTGTAAAATGTTCCGCAACTTGATGGACGTGACCCGGGGTGTGAACAAAATAAATCAATGAAACCTGATTGGCTTTTGTTTTTTGTTTTATGAATTACTAGCGTACCCGTCCCCCGCGCGTTGCCGCGGGGATAGAAGTAAGTTTGACGAAATGTATTAGAAGGATTTCACCAATGCGTTACCAATCATATTTTCTTAGACGCGTGACCGTCTTTTCTAAAAGTGAGTTATTTAAATGTAAACAATGCCTGCGCTTGGATCATAAATATCGGAACACAGGTTTACCCACACTACCGCATGAAAACATTGAATGTACATTAATCACTCACCGAAATAATATGGTAGAACACACTTCGGTGACCGCCCACGTGTCAGAGACGTAGAGGGGCGCTCTCAGGGCCCCCACCCCCCGATTACACTACCGCAAAGGCGCGGCGTACGACCACTGGCTCCTTAAAACTAACAGGCGCCATCGTGCCAAATAGCATCCTGTTAATAATGATGCTGATTTCGTCATTCGCTAAGGTGACACAAATGAACAGGATTTTTTTCTTTTTCTAAAAAAATATTAGACGTGTTTTATACATCAGCGTGACTGATGCAATATGCTAGCGTTACTAATGGTCTATTATTAGGTGCTCGAACTCAATTTCCGACTGGATTGTCTAATAATAGATGCTTATTGCATCATTCGCAAAGTGACGTAACTCTACAGTAGGCTCCTAATATTCAAAAAGTTATTTTTTCATCTTTGGCAAGGTGACGAAACTGTACAGAAGGACTTCCACGCGTTACAAAGTTATTTTTATAAGCCTGTTGTAGTTTTACCGCTGAATATAGTAGTACCCCTTACTCGCTATGCAGGACGCTCGATTAACGGATGCCAAGCGCCAACATCGTCGCTCTAAAACTCTGGGCGCCAAACCGTGTATTGACGAAAGTTGTACCCTATATGGCGCTGCCCATAAGAAACCTTAGTTTTCTTTTTTGCAGAAATATTCTCGGGAGTATTCTCATCTACTCCCTAAAGTTTCATGGCACTCGGATGAACCGCATCCGAGTTTTATTTTTTATATACCGTGTATAGAGAAAAAAAATCGCTCCCCCCCCCGGGGGCGCCGCCCTTGCAATATTAAACAATATTTTTTTTTTGCAGAACCCTACCATTGAGTGATCTAATCATCTCCCCAAAGTTTCATGGTACACGAGTGAACGGTGTGAAACCGAAATAGACTTTTATTTTTATAAACCGTATAAAGAGAAAAATCGCAGCCTCCCGTGGCGCCGCCCTTGCGAAATTAAAAAAGGATTTTTTTTTTTTTTACAGAACCCTTTCCCTGAATTGTTCTAATCAACTCCCCCAAAGTCTCATGGCTATCGGATAACGGTGTCACACCAAAATCGACTTTTATTTGTATATACCGTATATAGAGAAAAATCGCACCCTCCCGTGGCGCCGCCCTTGTGAAATTATAAATGATTTTTACAGAACCCTTCCCTAGAGTTTTATAATGAACTCCCCAAAGAATCATGCCTATTGGATGAACGGTGTCACTGCAACTCACTTTTATTATTTTTATATACCGTATATAGAGAAAAAATCGGACCCTCCCGTGGCGCCGCCCTTGCGAAATTAAAAATTATTTTTTTACAGAACCCTTCCCTAGAGTGGTATAATGAACTCCCTAAAGTCTCATGGCTATCGGATGAACGATGCCAAACCAAAATCGACTTTTATTTTTATATACGGTATATAGAGAAAAACAAATCGCGCCCTGCCGGGGCGCCACCCCTGCGAATTTGAAATTTTTTTTTTCGCGGAAACCTCCCCAGGACTATTCTCAACAACTTCCCAAAGTTTCACGGCGATATGATGAGAGGTGTAGTAATGCATAAAGGACAAACACACATACATTGCTTTATTTAAATATAGATAAGTGATGAAAATAAATTGTACATCGCTGCGACTAGGGTCTATTCCCGAAAGACACATGCCCGAATTGGACAAATGGACACTTCCCCGAATTGGACAATTCGACACTTGCCTGAAAGCGTCCTGCTAGTAGATCAGTATATAATATCTAGTTACAATTTTTAAAATCTCACGCTGAAAAAGAAGTTGCGGATACAATAAAACTTCACGTAAAATGCTTAGCTCTTCGTTACAATCTTAATTTTTTTCGAAATATGTATCACAAACTTTTCTTAAAAAAAAAGATATTTTAATTTTTCTGTTAATAAATGAATAAAAATATTTAGAAGCGCAAATGTATGACACGGTTGATCGTGCAATGAGCCATTTTATTGATCCCGTATTTTGCATTAATAGTGATTTTATACAGAAACATCAAACATTTTCAATCCGAACTACTAGTCATTGGGGAAGATGAAGAACAGTCCACGTTTTTTGGTGACTATGAATTATAAATAGGTAATGTGGTCATTTGTATAAACAGCCACATTGACTTTTCCTTAACATCCATGTGACTATGGCGGCGCGTCCTATGGATCCGAACCACAAGAGACTTTCAGGTCAGCAATCGTGCATGCTACTGCCCAACCACACCCTTCCTTTGATGGCGATGCTGTTTAAAGCGTACTACAAATAGGCTCAAAAAGAGGCTATAAAATTATAGATGCCATAAAGGAAATTTCTCAAACAAATTTTATTATTTTAATTTGTGAAACCAATTTAATATCCACGTGATAGGGGAAGTAGCGTTCACATGTTTTGTTGATCTCTGCATATGAAGTGATAGTGTGGTCAGCACTATGCCCAGCCGTCTTTCCTTTCCCTAACCTAACGGGTCTTAGGTATCCATCAGAGCTGGGTGGACTTAAGGAATTCTGTACGTACTCGAGCATAGGATCCCAACTCGAGACGTTCAGGTGAGCAGCGGAACACTCTACCATTCGACCACGAAATGTACTATTTACACTTAAATGCATTGAAAGAATCTGGGTGAAATGAAAACTAATTTGATCTTTCTCCCTCTATCTTTCTCTCTCTCTTTCTCAATTTTTTATATCTCTCTCTCTCTCTCTCGCTCTGACTCTCTTTCTCACTCGGTCTCTCTCTCTGCCTCTCTTTCTTTCTCTTTCTGTCTCTTTCTCTCACTCTCTCTCTCACTCTTTCACTCTCCCTCTGTCCCTCTCTCTCTCACACATACTCCAGCCGATCAAACACTATTTTCTATGAAAGACTCAATGAAATTATCAATGACAGAGTCAATGATAACTACCGCTCTCCTGTATTTTTCTCTTAAGAAACTCAATGATAAATATAAAGCGTTAGTAGTTATAAAGAGAGAGAGAGTTTATCAAAACGGAAATAATTCAACTCGTTTAATTAATAAAGCGTTAAACGTAATTATTAATTCTTAATTTCTCAGCGATTGATACAATTGTTTAGGGACAGTTAAACTATTTTTAAAAAAAATATAGATCCTCGATCTTCATTTATAATTTATTGATTAAAATAATTAAAACAGGTCTTTGTACTATATTATTAAAAAAAACAACTAATGAATATAATAAATAATTTTGACTATTTCTCATTCTAAACTTATCGAATATCTTTTTTTTTTAAATGCAAGGTAATCTTGTATAGAACCTACATGATTAACTTTTCTTCTAATAATAAAAAAAAAACTCTAAATAAAAACTATTATTCCTACAAATATTAGAGTAGTCTCCCTTGACAGTTTCTATTCGAATGTATTTTGTGTTAATTTTCGTTATGAAATACAGTTGACTTTTTAAATAAATTATATAAGAAAACAATCTATCTCTGTGTATATTTATTTTTAAAAAATATTATTACAATAATTAGAATAGGTGTTACTGGTTAAATAGCAATTATTCTCATTCTAAATCTTTGGCTATCGAGTTTCATGGGTTTTTAAATTTAAGATTATGAACACATTGGCTTAACGAAAATGATTATATACACTTAAATACATACTAAAATTTACTTTTGTTAATAAACCTACACTATTTTATGCACACATACAAAAAAGAATATTTTAGCGGCAGTTACAACGTCAAAAAAAAGGAAACTCCTTTATACTGAATAGTTCTACGTAACAACAAAAATGTAAAAATACATAGTCCTAGAGCACACTAACACATACATATATACATACGAAGATATGTGTGTGTGTAAGTAGGATGTGAGGTGTGTAGACAGGCGGGGTGGAAGGAAAGCAGTTTGGCAGGAATAACGGTAGGTAGGAAAGTAGGTAGGCAGGCAGCAGCGCAGGCAGGTTAGTAGATAGGTAGGTACGTAGGCAGGGAGTTAGGTATGTAGGTAGGTGGGCCTAGGTAGGAAGGCGCCTCACTCGGTATAGTGAGCGATTATAGTAGCCCATCATATTCATAGCGTTTCGCAATTATTAAAACGAACAAAGGTACCATAGTACTCACGGGAAAACCCGGGGAGGTAAATGGAACCCTGCCAGGGCGCCACCAAATCGAATTTTTTTTCGTAGAAACCACCACAGGGGTATTAGCATTAACTTCTCAAATTTGAATGACAAACGAATGAAATCTTTGATAATGCTTAAACAAACAAACCCACATATTCGTTTTTGGGGCGCGGGTTTGTCCACACTGCCGCCTAGACGCACCAAGGCTCACTGTATGAAAGCCTTGAGTGTACGTTAATCAACCTCTGTAATAGTGAGGTAGAACACACATTGGCGACCGCCCATGTGTTAGAGACGCGTCCCTTGGCGCTCCAGGGAGCCACTGGTTATATTTCCGCAGGGGCGCCCCTAATTCGGTTTAATTATAAAATGTCGTGTGCCACCGTGTCCCTATTGTAGGGTGCTCTTTAAGGAGGCACTCTCTGTAGAGCCCGGGGCGCTCGCTGTCGCCAACTGCCAGGGCGCCGGCGGGCGCTCATTATTCTACTTAGTGAACATTTATAGTAGCCCATCTAAACCGTAGTGTCGCCCGAGATGGGTCTTGGCCGCTCTGGGCCACTCAACCGCCGGGGAGCTGGCGGATGAACCTGGTGTAGTTTTATCACTGAATCTCAGAGGCGTAGCACCATTCCTGGCGCCTGGGGACAAATGTTCAATTTGGCGCCCCCCCCCCCTCCCGCCGGAGACAAACTTTCAATTTGGCGCCCCCTCCCCGTATTTTTTAAATATTTATAATGCAAAACTATAGCTAAAATGAGCTTTTAAATTTTTCCAACCATTTTGGCGCCCCTAGGGTTGGCGCCCGGGGACATATGTACCCCCGCCCCCCTCGCTGCGCCTCTGCTGAATCTAGTATTACCTATGACCGTAATTGATGAGATAGCCCCTCTGGATTCCCCTCTGGATTCTGAGCTCATAATCGTATAATTAGAAAAATCGAACCCTCCCAGGGTGCCACACTTAAGAATTTTTTTCTTTCTCGAAACCCTTTTCACCAACTACCCAAAATTTTATGACTCTCGTACGAACAGTGTCAAATTGCATCTGGCTTTTATTTTTATGGAGAAAAATTGCATTGCTTCCTGTCAGAGACCCCAGATCGAATGGGGCGCCAAAAGGGGTAGACAATTTTTTAAAAAATCCTCATTCTTCAGTAAAATTTAAGAAAACAGATTTATACATGGCTGATATCCTCAATTATTTTATATAGGGGAGTGTATGTAGGGATGGGCGCCTTTTTGCCAGCGTTTGAATAGGGTTGGCACATAATTGATAGTTCGCCCCGGCTGCCGGAATAGGTTGCTACGCTTCTTCTTCCTGCTAGGGTGCCGCCCTGGCGAAATCTTTCCGGGGGGGGGCGTGCGGACACTGTTAAAAGTATTTTTTTCTATATAAATTCCGTTTCGTTCGGGGGTGGGGGGGGGGGGTCGATAGACTTTCTTCGGGGGGTGGGGGGGGGGGCTCTGCTTTCCCCCCCCCCCCCCCCCCCTCCGAATAGATTCCTGGAAAAAACTCTGTTCACAAAGTTTTATGGCGATCCGATGAAAAAGATGTAGTAATTCATATAGGACAAACAGATAAACATACTTTCATTTCTATAAATATAAATAGATATATAGGGCCTACAAGTTCAAATTCGGTCCTTCAGAAATGTTTGAAGTCTCTAGATTAAAACGACTTTTCTCTTTTATGTACCTACTGACCACATCACATGCATTTGTTCTGAAAGTCTAAAAACAGAGGCACAAATATATCGTCTAGACTTGTGAGGTCTACAGATTAGGTATTTTGGCAGTTATCTAAGCCCTTGCCTGTTCTGACTCAAAGCCTTATTCTTTCTCTATCGACGCCTTGCGTAACATGGGATTGGGTTTTTAAGGCGGCATAAAGCTTTATGTTGTTCCTTTTTGAGTACACTAGATTAAAAACTAACGTTTTCAGATGCCTAAATATGTTTAACCACTAATTAATCAGAATAATGGGTCAAGATTTCAATTCTTGGTTTTGGGACACGTTAGTTGCCGGGGTTGAGCTAATGTCGATAGCATAAGGACTGTACCTTGATGCGGGCGTTTTATTTGTTGCCCATCGTAATAATTGAATGGTTGATGGGGCTTCTTCAAGGGTTTGATTTGCCGTAATGTTAATGATATCATACATGTGAGGCTTTTCTAAGAGGAAAATGCGTTTAAACACTTTTTAGTTATGCTTTTTTTAAATAGGCCTATATTTTACTACATCATAATCTTAATGAACAATAAAATGAATTTAAACAACTTTAGAATACACCTGTTTCGGCTAACATGAATGTTATTCTTCAAACTAGTAATGTTAAACGTGTCTTTTTCGCATTTTCGACTTATAAGCAATACAGTAAATTCCGATAACGTCCATATGCATACAAGCAATGGCGTAGGCGAGGAGGGGTTTAATAGTGATTTAATAATGATACTTTCTTAACCCTCTACTGGACATCATGTTTGGTACCTTGCCCCCGGCAACTGGGTGGATTTGGATTACACCCAAGTTTTACTTCATAGTAAATGGCTTCAGTTTTAATTATTGGAGTTGGTAGCAACATTGACACAGTTGAAATCACATTAATTAGTATATAATTTACCATTACTAACAATAGGCCCTACTTAATTGTTTAATGTTGCTGGATATTAAGCCTGGTAGGTATTTATATTTATTAATTTGTACAGAAACAAAAAAAAGGATTCCCAAACAAAGTTTTATTTTTCAGAAATAAAGAAAATGATACAAATCAATAAAGAACAGTTTTCAAAAGAATTTGTATAAAAGTAATTATTATAAAATAAGAATATAGCATTGCATAGATAAAAATAAAATACTTGACACAAACAATATGAGGAATATTTTTTATCAGAGAAGAGAAAAATATATGATGTAGTTTGAAATTAATAATGTACAGAATGTAGCTTTTGCAGATTAAAATGAAAATTCTCATGCCTATATAATTTGAGTAAATGAAGCAAGACCCAAAACAATAGGCTAAATAATATGCATGGGACAGGCATTGAAAACTACAAATTGCATATAGTGAAGGTTACCCTATTTATTGGCTATATCCACAGTAAAGATTTATGGCTTTACTACCTGCTTGTAAAATTGTTAAGGAAAAAGTAAAGTATTGTTAACTTTTTATGGCAGACCAACTACGGGCTGTGTTCTGGGAACATGTCATCTGTAAGAGGCATTGTTCTCGGCACATGTTGTCATTTTTTGTGTTCTCAGCACATGTTGCCATTTTGTGTGTTCTGGGAACATGTTGCCATTTTGTGTGTTCTGGGAACATGTTGCCATTTTGTGTGTTCTGGGAACATGTTGACATTATGTGGCTGTGTTCTGGGAACATGTTTGTTTCATTTTTAAATATTATAATAAAACATTTTTAGAAATTCTATATTAGGAATTGTGTATATATATAAATTTATATATTTAATAAGACAATTTGATGAATTATAATAAAGAGCAAAAATGATTCAAATAAGTTTAGAAGTATTTGGCTTGCTGTCCTAACAGTGAACTGTATTGCGAGCTTGTTTCCCTAGTGATAATCCATGTTTTTTGTGCAACCCTTCCAATCAAGTATCCAGCTTTTTCTTGGCCTGTATCAAAATGCTGGTCAGACTTGCTTGACTTGTGTATCACAATATGATTTTGAATGTTTTTCTGTAAATGAAATAAAGGCAAAATATTTTGATACTTTCTTTTGTGGAACTTGCAAGAAAAATAAATTACAAATTTATATTACTATCTCTAATATTTCTTTACTATAACTAATTACTTTGAAAAGATAAAGCACTGAACATGATGAATAACAAGAAACAAACATTATCAGCAAAGATTATAGATTTAAAATTGTGTTCATTCATATTGAAGATTAATGAAGTAGACTATCAATATTTACCCTCTTGATGGCTGATACTTTGATTTGATGTCTTTACTTTAAGCTTACACATCAGTCTCTGTGTGGTAAAATATGAAATAATATGCTTCAATAAAACTGTTTCACTATATTAATTATATTAGATAAGTACATAGTTTTGAGCTCTATAACAATATGTGTTTCAATTATCATTCAAATATAATACCCTCTATGTTGTACAACTCACTGATTTATTAGAATTAAAAAAAAAGACAATAATTAATAAAATATTTTGGATTAAAATCCATTATATTTATTATAACATACAATGCTATCTCTTGCTATAATAATTACTTTAAAAAATGGGTTATGCCTATAGTACAGTTACCTGAGGATGAAACTAGGCACAGTGTATAGTCCACGGAGACTGATTAATATCCCTTGTAATTGAACATCAGTTGTAGTTATGAAATCAGGATGGCCAAACACACACTCATAGTCCTGAAAAGCAATTTACACATAGATTAGCAAGAATATTTCACAAATTATTAAATTAAAGCTAACCCCTATTTAGTGCAATCCATCAAAGTAGTAGCATTTTTGTTAAGTTGTAGACACAATACAAAGTAATGTTTGGTCTGTGATTTACATACTTTTATAAAATAGCAATCAAATTATATATATATATATATATATATATATATATATATATATATATATATATATATATATATATATATTATATATATGTATATATATATTCATTGTAAATTTTAGCTATGTCTTGCTATTAAATTTATTTACTCGACTGATCTAAACTCACTTTATTTAAACATAATATAGTGGATAAGTATAGTGATTTTATTATTCAGCAATAAATAGCAGGCCTAAAAAAATTTAAATAGTAACGTTTGCGAATGAACACATTAAATTCTATGTATTTCCATTTCTATGTCTTTCCCAACTTGATGCATATTACTAACCAAGCATTAAACTATAGTCCTAAACCTGACTCTAATTACCATTTATTGGACAACCTGAACCTTTGCGATACCATGTTATAATTTATTATTTTAAAAAAGAGCTTACCACTAATTAGTAAAATCAATTGTTTTTAGTATTAACTGAGCCGCATACTATCTGCTGCTATTGTCATCACCAGAAATCCAGTATGTTGGCAAAGATTAGTCTCTAAGTTCCCTGCAACCTCTTTCCTCTCGAGTGCGGAAAACACTGAAATCATTAATCATTATTTCATTATGCTTAATAGTTTAAAGGTACTATTAAAGTAGTACTAAATAGTACGAGTCTTAGTTACTGTAACTATAGGTCTAATGATAATTATTATTGTGTATGCTTACATGCTTTAAGTTTTATGCACAATATTGGTATATAATATATAGTCTATAGTATATAGCCTAAGCTATAGAGTATATGGATATAGGCCTATGAGCCTAAATATAACAGCAGCTTGAATAATGCTCATTAGCATGCATTCACTATAAACTATAAAGATACTCAAATATTTCAATTTAATTAAATTATAACTAATAGGCCTAATTAATAGTAAATAGGCTTTTTTCTTGTGGCAACAAATTTAAAGTATAGGGCAGTACAGTTATAGTATAGGCCTACTAGATTCTATATTTAAGTATGTGGGCTTTTCATTCCAATGCACCACAATAGATACCCCACATGATCAAGCTGGACCTCTGATCTAAAGATTTAATAATTGGGCCTAACAAACAGTGAAACTACAATAAAATCATGTAAATTACTAATTTAACCTTCTTACCTCCGCTTCTCTAGATTCCTATTCTATTTCCTTCAAACTTTCTTTTTATGCAGCCGTATGATTAGATTCTAGACTATAATCTAATAAACATGAAATAACTACTAATCAGAACACTAGATCTAAATTTCTATATTCTATGCAATATGTATTAAACCTATAGGCCTAATATTTATTTTAAATTCCTATGCGATGTGTCGTGAACTCTAGGTTTCATGTTACTTTTTTTAATGGCGGAAGTCAGGTTAAAATTTCGTTTCCTTCCTTTTGTTATTCTATTTATAGATTCAAACTGCTTAGAGACGGAGCAATTATCATTGAGTTAGTTGGCTGATCCACACAGGAAGTGCGGGTATATCTATTTGTTACTCAGTGATCCGATCATTGACAGATACAGAGATAGCCATTCGCATGGGGTGCATACTCTCTCTCTCTCTCTCTCTCTCTCTCTCTCTATCTCACTCTCATAGGATCATTACCATCTCAAGATATTACTAACTAGCCAGGCACATTGGATAAGGGTTAAAGATTGAGAATTTCTCTCACCCATGTTATCAGTCGCTGAATACGTGTCTTCCCTTCGGAGTTTTGCTTCCCCCCCCCCCCCCCCCCCCGCCCAGTGTGTCTCACTACCTGGGGTAGGACATGAGGGGCAGTTCTTGACGGTCTTGAACCCGGGTTTCGAACTCGTGACTGGTGGTTGGCAAATGCGTTGTTTATAAGTAGAGCATAGAACACGTTTGTCCCTAGTTAATATGCCATCGTAAGAAGGTAGTCCTACATTAATAACTTTTAAGATTGTGAAGCGGGCTAGCTTACAAGTTTTCGGTCAAGTGAATCCGGCTGATTCAGCGACGTTTAAATTATTCTAATATTTTGTCAACACGTGTTGTTGTTGTTGTTGTGTTTAGTGTAACAACGTGACAACGTGACAACGTAACACATGTTGCAAATTATACAAGTGACATCTGAACATTGTGTTTAGTGTGACAACGTGACAACGCGACAACGTGACAACGTGACAACGTGACAGCGTGACAGCGTGACAACGCGACAACGTGACACATGTTGCAAATTATGCAGGTGACATCTGAGCATTGTGTTTAGTGTGACAACGTGACAACGCGACAACGTGACAACGTGACAGCGTGACAGCGTGACAACGTGACACATGTTGCAAATTATGCAGGTGACATCTGAGCATTGTGTAGCTGTTTTAACTCAGCGGTTAAGAAATTTAAAGTAAGTCACGGTGTTTGTTGATGAATCACAGATGTGGTGTAGACTCTTGTTGTTCTACATTTTATTTAATCGGCCAACACACATCTGCATACGCAAATCAATTTGAACAAAAGGCATCCTGGTAAGTTTTTAACAAGTTAATCATGCATCTTATGAATCAAAATTGCAGGAAATTTTAAAATATTCGTTAAACAACTGCTGCTCACTGCGTGCAGAAAAGGTGGTGTAACATTGAAAGTATAAAACCCGCCTACCACCTGCGGTTACTTGCGAATCACTTCATAGAATCTGATCTAGACGCAGTCAAAACAAAACCTTGTCTCAAGATGAACAAACTTCTACTTGCATTGTTCGTCTCGTTAGCTTGTGTCAGTGTCGCAACTGCCGGGTTCCTATTTACCAAAGGTGCGCAAACCGTTTATTCAATTTCAACACATCAGTAGTTAACTTTATTAACACCTCATAAATCATAGTAATCAATGATATTAATGGTATAAGATGTACAATTATTGATAATTTTTCAATTGGAGCTGATGATGCTGTTATTAATTACTGAAGATATGTTACAGGAACTTGTCCTAACGGAGCCAATGTGGGGGCTGTGTGGTACAAAGCACCCTGTGAGAAATGTGAATGTGTACAGGGAGGTTACAACTGCTACACGTAAGTTTCTAATTTGGTCAGAATGTTTTCGTTTTTATACGTTAAATAACGTGTGTATTCATCTTATAGATTCATATATATATATATATATATATATATATATATATATATATATATATATATATATATATATATTTATATTTATATTTATATTTATATTTATATTTATATTTATATGTGTGTGTGTGTGTAAATATATATATATATATATATATATATATATATATATATATATATATATATATATATATATATATATTTATATATATATATGTCTCTACCCAAAGAACCGATTAATCTTTTACAACCTGTACTATATTTTACAGCTGTACCTATAGGCAATATCCGAGTGCCTGTTATGTTGCCTATGCAAGAGGTAACTACCCAAGCTGCTGTCAAGCTTTAGTCGACTGCCCTATGAGTGCAAAGCCTTGAACCAACTAAGATGCATGCCTTATAGAGACGAAAATAAAAAAAACATTGAACGAATTTAAACATTTGACGTTGTTGTTTGTGTTTAACATTTTATTTGAATATCATTTGGAGGGTGTAATATGAGTGAAAAAATAAAATACTAAATGTTTTATGTTTGAAATCTCAACCTACAAATATTTTATGTTATTGTATAGTGGTTGACTGAATTACTAGACTGATTATACATAGATTATGTTAGTCAAAGTTAAAATAAAATTCACCATTTTGTGACTAAGTTTGCGAAACATGTTTGTCTTATTTGGAATTCTCAACAACAAATGTGCGAACGTATGGAAAGAGTTTATAAAAGCAGCGAAAATATAGCTGAACATTTAAAACGAGCCGACCCGCGAAGTACCATACGCTGCTAATTAGATGTTTTATGTTCTACTTCGACACTAACAATGCTGTAAATTAAAATATTTTGCTTGAATACACTATCAGCAGCTCGTGAAGGACGATTATGCTCACCCTCTCTTTCCCCCCTCCCCGCCTGCCCCATTGGAAGCAGTCGTCCGTGACTACAGTTTATAGTCGAAATGAAAAATATCAACCAGAACTTTTTATTATTTCCCCTTTGTAAAAAATCATTTAAAAACTAAATTATCCGCCCCTAATAGCCGTCGCTGATTCAATGTGAACCACTGCTCACCAGATTGGTGAGGTGGGGTGGTAGCGGATAGCGATATGCCTAGAGAGCGGGGTAGGAACGGCTTAGCCCTTACATGGTGGTGTCTCGCATGGTCCCCACGTAGAGAATTATATATATATATATATATATATATATATATATATATATATATATATATATATATATATATATATATATATATATATATATATATATATATATATATATATATATATATATATATATATATACATATGTTACTGTCGAAGCCCGAAGTCGGCCAAAGCGCGCGTTGGCCATATATAGATAATAAAAGACAGGCTCTAGTATTTGACACTACTACTTGAATAAACTGAGGAGGAATAAGGAGAAGTAAGATTTCACGTTTTCATTTTTTGCGTCTAGTGTCAAACGTTATCCAAGACAATCATAGCACGGCAGCCTTGCCACCTTAAAGTAAAACAAAATCTTTACCACCCTTGTAAAATATTTGTTTGCGAGGATTGAAAAATAATAATACCTTTACCCACCTGTATCCTTCAATGCTTATAAAAAGTTTTAAGATGCGAGTGCCCCGACATGCGAGGTTTTTGTTTATACGAGCTGTCGAGCGAGATAAAATTTGTTTTGACACATGTACAAAATTTGAGATACGAATAACCGGATAAGCGGGTTCTAACGGTTAGTGGAAAAAAAAAACATCTCGAAAAGGTTTCAACTGATTGTGCATGAAAGTTATGTAATGACACTTACTTAACTCATTTCCTCAACATTCTTAAAGAGTGGGAAAAAAAAACCTTGGAAAGGTTTATTTTAATGACCTACATGGAAAAATTGAAAAAACTTGGCAAAAAAATTGAAAGGACCAGCGAAGAGAAAAGCAGTGACGAAAATTAAACGAATGTAACAAAGTATGTACAGTAACATTTAGGTTCAATTATGTTCTTAATGTTCGGTTAAGTTTAGGGATAATGAGTAAGAGTCTAAAAGAGCTTAGCGTTAACAGTGGGTAATTGATCGAGGTAAAGCGTCTAGCCTATCTTTAGCGTTAAGAGTGGGTAAGTGATCGAAGTTAACCTTCTAGTCTATCTCCTCCAACCTACACTGGGCCTATACCTTCACCGCCATCTTCCGCAAAATTAGTTGGCTGATTCTCGAGGTAATTACACATTATAAAGACACTTTATTTCGTTGCATTATCAATTATGTTATTAAACAATAGTTGTTATGAAGGAATACACTTTTCTCATTTTAAAAAACCTATCAACTACAACAAAATGTCTTCTAAGGTCTACCATTGCGCCAAATTTCAGTACAATCTAACAACGTAAAATGATTTAAATTAATTAATACTAATAGTTTCGCTGTCTCTCTATGTATCTATCTATCTATCTGTCTGACAAGAACGCTCTAGAGAAAAGACAAGCAATTTAAAAACATGCATAGTAATTCGAAAAACGAAGTATGACGTCGACACATTTAGCACAGAGTAGAAAATAATCTCTAGCCGGATAGTGCACACATTTATATGACGTCATTGATTATCGCGTAAACATTCAATACAAAGGCAATTTGGTCTAATCTAAGTGGTTTACGTGAAGAGTTTCTTTCATACAATTCTTCGGGTAGGGGCGAAGCCCCACCCCCGCGTAAGAACGTCTGAGCCCCCCCTCCCCAACTCAAAAGAAATTTCCTCATCGATACTCTATAATAAAATTACCGCCTAATTAATGTGTCTAATCTAAAAAGTGGTTTTCTTGCAATGGGACGGTAGACATGTTTTTTTTTGGGGGGGGGGGGGGGGGGTGGGGGGGGTGGGTGGAGGGGTGGGGGGGGGTGTGTGTGTGTGGGGGGGGGGGGGTGGGGGTGGGGGGGGGTGGTGTGTGGGGGGTGGGTTGGTTTCAGTGTTTCTTTCAGACTTTTTCCTCCCCGGAGAGGGGTGGGGGTAGAATTTTCTGGGAGGGGGCGGACACTGGAAAAAGTATATAATTATATTTCGTTGAATGAGACGGTAGACATGTTTTTTTTGGGGGGGAGGGGGGGGTGGAGGGGTGGGGGGTGGTGTGTGTGTGGGGGGGTGGGGGGTGTGTGTGGGGGTGGGGGGGTGTGTGGGGGGGTGGGTTGGTTTTAGTTTAGAGAAAAGAGACAGCACTATCAGCCTAGCGCCCGTTGTACCCTTCCTCAACGGGCCATT